GAAAAAGATGCCTGCTTTACCGTGTGGAATCGTCCTGTATGTTTCAATCAACTAACGGCTCCTTTTGTCAGAACTACTATGCAGTATACAGATGTATACAGTATGCAGCAGCATGTTTCTGTTTTACCTTGATCATATGCGCGCTCATGAGGCAAAAGCACGGATCGGAGAGGAGCAGACAAAATTGCATAGAATGGAGGAGCACACTTTAGGTCTATGGACCAATGTAAGGTCCAGCAGCTTTTCCGCAACAATCGAACAATTTGGATTACAGTATGGAATTCTTAAGCTTTGTTTGTGTGATTCTTGAGCCCTTGATTGTTCTTATTTTCCTCTTCCTGTCCTGTATGCGCTCTGTGGCTGATGACTGCTGGATGACCCAGGCTTGGGGAAGCTCCTGGCTATGAAAGATGCTTTTCAAGCTCAAGCGAAAACATTCCCACCAGCTATCAGCTGAACGGAAAACTGCCAGGACCTGCCAGGGGTCAGGCAACGGATTTACTCATGAGGCTGCAAAATTCATTGCCATACCCTGCCTTGCACACCTGCAATCAACATCAACTGGCGGTAGAGCTGCTGCCAAAAATGTGTTGATCCCGGGATGGACTTCATGACAATGGCAGTCCGCGATAAATCGTTGGCATTGCCGTCTCGTGAGAGTTGTTTTTGTGGATCGGGAGACGAAGACATGCAAAAAAGGGTTTCGGCCTTTCCTTCAGGTACTTACAACTTGGACTGTCGCCCTCATGCTGATCCCTCGCGCATTAGTCCGGCCAAAGATGTCTCTGCTGACCAGGACAGGCTTGATGCCTGAACTCGGATTGCCACAGTTACTGCAGAAGTGCAGGCATGGCCACGTGGGACGCTGGTCTTCTACAAAAGCGAGCAGATCGAGAAGCAGCAGGCCGTGAAAGAGCAGTTTTTTTGTAAACAAACATGCGAGAATCAGAAACAAACAAGACTCATGGTGACATGGCAGTTCACACCAACAACATGTTTTCCGATTTTGATAATTTTGCTGAGCAAAATTCAACAGCGCAGGGTGGCCTCCGAGCCTCGATTCCAGCAGTTGTCAAGTCTTTCAACGAGAGCGCGCGATACCCAGAGTGTGCTGGAAGCTTGTGGATTGCATTTGCGGGGCCTACACTGTTGTCTCGCAATTGCACAGCAGATACCGATCACAGAGCACCTTCAATACTACTGGAATGTACATGAATACTGGATGCATTTCTTACTAGTAGTAACAAGAAGCTATTAACTTAATTTAAATGTAATTCTAATGGCTTTTTGTTACTACTAGTAAGGCACTTGTTACTAGTAGCGTGGCACTTGTTACTAGTAACAAGATTTAGTTGGATGCATTTCAGGACATGACCTACGACTTGGACATCCGTGATCATGCTGACTGTGATCGCATCCGGATCCGTGTGATGCCGCTGGGTTCTTAGCGTGAACGAGCAGAGTTTCACATCCATCGAGTTGTTTTCAACTGCAGTCAAGGATTTTTCTGGATACAAGTCTTCGCACCTTGATTTGTTTGGGCTTCTATTCTTTAGATTTACTGTACAGTAGATTTATCATGCTGGTTGAGGCCTAGGGCTGAGGATTCTGGATATATTTCGCATTGAATCACTCGTTGCGGGTGCGGTGCATAGCAGATTGGAGGTCGGAGGGGATGAGTCCTTCCGCGGATGCATTAACTTCCGCGATACCCAGGCGAGAGGCATTTCTTGAGGCAGTCGGAGATATGATAGACCAGTGGTCTACCCTCAATGTACTTGTAAGACCAGTCAAGGGACCTTGAATCTGACGAGGAACACTACTATTGATGGGCTTGGAGCATTTTTGTGCATATTCATGCATATTCTCTCCTGCAATGGTTCAACATGTTTAGCATTCAGCATCCTAATGCCAATATGATCAATATGGAATTTTGTTTCTTTGCGCTTGGAGGGGGGACAAGCCAGATGTGTTAGCACTATCCTCTCTTCATTTATTGCTGCCGTTCCTTTTGGCTCATCAGTGCAGTCACTTCACGTGTGTATCATTTCAAGCCGGGCTCTTGGGATCCAATCTTCACAATTAGAAAGCCTTCGTAGCCACTCGTGTCATATCGTGTGAAGAAGATTGCAACGATCGCGTTCGGCTTACGTTTGGAGACCATGTACAGAGACTTCATGTAGCCTCCTCATAGTTTTGGTGTCTTGCCATTCGAGGCATCACGGAGATGGCTGTGCAACCAAATGAGAAGCCTCCGGCTGAGGAGGCCCCAAGTCGTGAACAATTCCTGAAGGCTTTGACGGGAGCAATTTGGATTGAACGGCCACGACTTGCTGGCTCAGCCTTGCCAGAAGAATTCAGAATTCGGTGCGAGCGCCAGGAAGATTTCTTCGAGAAGTACTTGAGGAAGTTTCAAGATCCACCATCCTTTGCGTTCAGTCCCTAGAGTCCGACAATGTTTCAGCCAGTTTGTTCTCGATTGTCCAAGGATTCAACAGACAACGGTTCTTGCTCTAACCCTACTGTAGGTGTCATTAGACCGATTAGACACCCCTATAATTACTTGAAACACGTGACACGAGCAGTTGGTACTAGGTACTCATCCTTGTACATATCTTTCTACAGAGGCCTGATTCTACAATCCAATTTATTCCTATAATAACTGCTTAATCAAGTGAAGTGGGTCAAAATGCGATTAACGACTTATAACGACTTGCACTTGGGATGCTTGCCTTTGCCTTGGTACCAATTGAAGGCATTGTTTATTGTTCATCGTTGTTTCCTCTCAAAATTGGTTAAGACCTGACCACACGCATATTTATTGACACGGAATGAATGAAGGCTGACACATCGTTTGTTTAGTTTGTCAAGCACAAAATAGCAGTTGACATTTGATCTTCTATTCATTAGGGCAGCCGGTCCGCAGACAAGTGCTGAGAAGCCTCCAGCAGTAGAAAGACCTGTTCTCATTGCTTCGGATCACTTCCCAGCAATGCGTTTTGCCATGATATGTGTCTTGCAATGCGTTTTGCTGGCTCTTTGGGCAAGCGCTGCTACTCGGAAAGATCTGGCACAGTTACGCAGTTCCGTTGCTCCGGAATATGTTCTTCTTTAGTCAAGCCATAATCGAGGTTTTTGATGATTCAAGTTTCAAGCACCCCATGTATGGAGGCGTTCAACGAATGCCATGTTAATCTTTGTGCTTCATTGAATCATTAATCCAAAGCTTGAGAGCAGCTGCTCTCTTCCTCCGCGAACGGCCTGGTGAGTTAATGAAATCACTTATTCTTCTGTTTGAAGGCTGAACAACCTTGTTCCCAAAAACGAGATTGGTTTCGAGAATTTCGATCTTTAAGTCTACGTGAATTTGTAAAAAAAATCCTTGCCAAGAGGTTTCAATAGCTGACGGTACGCGTGAATCCAAGGATAATGATGTGGACACTGTGCCGGAGATAGCAAAGGCGGAAGAACTTTGGTTTTCGTTTTCGTTCTTTGTAGTAGTGTAGATGTTTGAGAGATGAAATCGCTGAGGCGCAGCATATGCATATAAGTTATGAGTACCAGCTGCACCGCACCAACATGCCCAGACAGGGTCAAGGTGACCTTTGGGTGAATTTGCAGTCGGCTCCCAGAGTTCGCTTGTGGGGAATAGCACACTCGCCCAAGTTTGGCAAGGGTGCCTTGGCGAGAGTCGATTGGAACTGAACGTGACAATCGGTTGATTAGGTCTGAGATTTGTCTCTTTGATTAGGTCGATGTGCATGCTGTTCTTCTAAATAATTAGAACGGAATGCTGCGCCGTCAGCCGTCAGCTAAACAAAACGTGCCACAGTTCATCCCGAGAAACCTCACATCCCCCAACCATTTCTCATTCATACAATGTAATTCATTAATTTGTTTTCTGGAATAATGTCTAAGAGCATTCGCACCGTTGTCCTACACCAGGAACAATTACCATCTTGCTGGACTCGGGTTCGAAGACCATGTACGCAAGAATTCAATTGGACCAGCTGAAACAAGAGCCTTGGTTGCTGTTGTTTGAAGAGTCTAGGCCAGTCTTAGAATCATGTGCTACAGTCGAGGAATGTGAGGGTTTTGATGGGCAGTGACTTTGTTCGACCGCCACGAAAATTCAAGAAAATATCTTCGGACTTTACTGGTAAAAGCAAGGTCAAGACTAATCTTAAAAGTCCGTGGCAGCTGTGTGAGAATCATTGGAACATGCTCAATTTCTTGAAGCTCCTGAAGGACACGCCTTAAAAGTTACAGTATATACAATGATTTTCCCTGGTGTTTTGGTTTCAAGGCACGTGTCGGTTGATGCAACATCCTTGCAGTTAGCAGAAGTACTAAAAGCCTAGGGGGTGTTCATGGTCTGACCTGAGCCCTTCTTTCAAGGCAAGCGGACCCCAAACGATGCTTTGCTTGGGAACTAATGGCATTCGGATAAATTGGGTAATTAGGATTGATAATGGGTTGCTGGTATTGTTTTCGTAAGGTGATCCAGGGCGAGCACCCAGCGATTCTTGAGTTGCTTGATTCGTCAAGGACCAATGTCTAAAATACCCATTTCCTGCTCGAACTGGGGAAGTTGAGCAGCAGCGGCTGAAGACATTGCGCAAGCGCCACCACGACATTCAAACCCTTGTACATCGAGAAGAGACCAGTTATGTCACCGGCAAGGTGTCCCGGCTCATGCTGCGTGGATGTAAGACCAAACGTTTGAGATACTTTCCCCGATGCATGCACTTGTGCGAATGGAGACACACGGAGATGTGAGGACTTGTAAGGAGCAGAACTCACTAGCACGTTGCATGTATTTAGGCTTCACTGAGCTTGTAGAGGAGCTGTGTGGTGCTTAACCAATCTTAACCATGCTTGACATTTTAGATTCCCTGACTAAAGATTGTGAGGATAAGGATCTAATCATAGGCCCTCCTCATACAGTCTTCAGCTTTCCTACCTTAGGCCACCCAGCTTCTGCCATGGACAGCGACTTGATCCAATCAGCCTGGTGACGTATGCACATTAATCATACTAGCATATAAAATATGTAATATATAATATACATAATATGTCTATATATATATATACAGTAAACAGTGTATAATATATACTGTATATATATATAAATGTGTATTAGAAGTGCCTCTTCAAAGTTTGTGATGACTACGTTTGCACAAGAGCGTCGCATTCATCTGCGGGCATGCTCCAAACCCTGGGAAACGATAGGGGACCTCACAAAAAGACGTTTCGAGCCTGCTGGTTCCAAGAAGCAAACAAATCAGAAATGGATTGGATAACATCTGTTATGTCAGAATTGCTGTGAGTAGATGCCTTAAGCTCAAGAAACCGGGGCAAAAAGCCACAAGAAACGTAAGAACGCTTACAGCTACAAACACTTCCAAGATCTTTTGCCACGTGCGAGTAGGGAAATCCTGAGAAGGCTAAACACCAACACCCCGTGCTCATAATGACGCAGCCACTTTCCTAGTCCTAGCTAACTCACCGCTGACTTCGTTGCAGCCAAGTTCTCGCTTGTCATTTCCAGAACAGCACTTGACTGCAAACACAGATGTGAGCTATGGCCACTCCTTTGCAGCATTCCAAGCAGATTCAACATGAAGAATCGACGCCGGCAGGGCTGCTCAACGCATAACCATTCTTCAAATGTCGAGAGAGCCTTGCGTCAAACACAGTGAGTTTAGCGAGCATACCAAGACAGCAATCGCCATTGCTGCATTGCTGCGACCGATGTAGTTCAAGGCAACCATTGTATATACACAATTTTGCCAGAAACCGTGTTTGGTGAGGCTCTGCACTCGGAACTACCACAAACCTACAAAGGGTAGTCGTCATCCGCATAGTTATATACATCATGTTACATCGTCAAAATCCATTGCAAACACTAAAAGGCCGTGCCAGTTTGGCACTGGGGCTCCCAAGCGCAAGAGATTCAAGCATACTTGAGTCATTGAGCCTCTGGACAGCGAGCCCTGAAACGAACGAATATGTTGCCTGCACTACTGTGACCAAGGACAGGTACAAACTGGGTGTCGTGCAGAAGCACAATTCCGATAAGCTGATTGGCATTACCTTGCGACAAGGAGATCGCGTTGTAAAGGAGGTGGACTTTATTGAAACGGATGCAGCCCATGATGTGAGACTTGACGCAAGGATTGGGGTCATGTTCGTTCTTTGAGCATGTATTTTTCTTTGTTGTGATGTCCTTGGTACGATGTGTAACATCATATTTTGCACGGAAGCATCCTTAGTCGTCAATTCATCAGGCCATCATCTGATGAAGTCTTCCAGCCTCCCGAAAGCGACACGGTCAAATGCTTGAAGCCTCAGGACAGCACGAAAACCGTTCATTGATGTTCATTTCTTAGACATAGACACACATGCACCAGCACCACATGAGGCACGCTCAATATTACTGTAAGAGCAGCTCCTTTTGGATGTCCTGTTGATTTTGTGGAAGTGCTCAAAACCCCGTAGAACGATAGGGGACACAAATCACGATGACCATTCGATGACCTGTGTTTGTGACATACTTGAGCTCAGAACGATAGCTTGGGAAACGACTCTCCCAGCTATAGGGCCAGTTCTGTCTCGGCTTGAACAGAATTGCGAGGGCTCCGGATTTGGATTGAACAACAAGATTCATGAGAATTGTTAGTGCAAATGCAGTGCAGTTTGTAAAACCTCAACCA